AATTTTACAGCAAATGGAATTGTCACAACGCGTCCGCTCACGCTGGCGCGGTATTACGAGATGCACCGCAGAGGATACATGGAAATCTTCGCCGAACGGTATTTTTGCAACGAACACAACATCCAACTATCCCACTTTCCGCGACGTTCCACGTCCAACTTCGCAACCGGATACAACTCTCTAATCTTCTTATTCTAGTGACATGGCGATTTCATTCAAGACGCCGCTCGTCGGCGTTCATGGGAGAAGAAAAAGAAAAGAGTCCGATTAGAAAATGAAAAGTTTCCGTATTCCCGCACATTTCTACTCGAGGATATTCTTTCACAGGGTCTCTATGAGCCAGCGAACTGAACTTTTTATAGCATAAATATGAAAAAGGTAAATAGAAAATATACTCGGCAATTAAAAAGAAGTCGAGTTTAGTGAGTTTTGTTTCCTGACCATTAGACGCACTTTTCGACTTCTATATCAATATTTTAAGAATTGAAGTGACATTTCCGTCATCTAACAAAAAGCAAAAAGTTTTTGAACAAATAAAGTTCGCAACTCAAACATTAGCAACTCTAATTTTTAATCTAACCTAACCTAACCTAACCTAAAAACCTACGACATACTTGAACATAAGAAATATAATTATCCTAAAGTAAACCATACCATCAAGTTTGTTAATTCGGCTAAAACATCCAGATGATTGAATCTCAGTGAAGACCTTTACGACTCAGATTGCAAAGAGGCAGTGTTCCATCAGAGCAACTCAACTATCATCTCAGTGAGTATCTTTAGCGGCGAGAAGTACATCAAATGAACTTTGATCCGTTCTCAAGGCTGATTGAAGCAATTAGACAAATTTATCTCGGCAAAGGTTATTAATAAGTGGACTTATCATCAAGGAGCAAAACCCCTCACAAACTTGGTATTTGACAAACAATATTTTATATTTAGCATTCCCGTACCTATACTAATGTATTCCAAAAGTTTCAGCCCGCTAATACGCAATGGCCCCTCGAGAACTACAACCCTATTCGATTCTCTCAGGTTATAGATGAATCAGTAGCGTGCAACCATCGTACGCATGATGAACGTTGCGTAGAAAAGCACGTATGAAATGATAATATCTCGTTTCGAGGCAGAAGCACGGCGAGGATCGAATCTAGCCGCATCAACGGGCCATTTTTTACTCGACGAACTACAAAGACGACCGCTTACGTAAGTCGACGGGCTCCACGTGTCTCTTGGCCGGAGGCCCCGCGACTAATTTGCATCGACTCTCTTTCGTCACCGAAGAAGCGTGCTATAAATCTGTAGATTCTCGCGCGTGTTAGGTCCAGGGAGCCCGCGCGCACATCACCATCTGCATAGCTCCGCTCCACGGACGCTCGTTAATTCTAGTGCGAACAGGTAAAATTTACGCGCTATTTGTTGGCAGCCGATCCGTTGGTCGCCAAAGTCCGCCACGTTCCCGCTGCATGAGCGCGTCCGCTATTTCGGACACTAATTATCGCTCGGCTTGCCAAGCAGCGAGCCTTTTTTTCCCTTGGCTGCGCTCGCCTGATGAATTGCATATTCCTAATTAACGGGACAACACGCGATCAACACTCCTAGACCGATATAGCGGTGAGTCCGAATAAAACCGAGCTGGCTGGCTGGCTGGCTGGTTGACTGGCTGACTGGCTGGCTGGCTGGCTGGCTGGCTGGCTGGCTGGCTGGATGACTAGCTGGCTGGCTGACTAGCTGGTTGAAACGAGTCGAAGTATACCGAGCTAAGATGAAAGTCTTATTGTTACTGTTTGAAACCCGACGTGATCTCTCTTCGTGTCGCGATAATAATGCTGGATTCAATTTAGAGTCAGATATCGCGAGAAAACGTGCTGAAAGCGAGGTGCTATATGCGCCACACAATCATTTCTATTTTGAATATCTGAAATCAGGCTGAGAAATGAACACGTTTAAAGGAGTTCTTCGTCAGGTCTCCGTTAGACCGGCCATGTTCCAATTTAACTTTAGCTATATATTTGAATGTACAGAATAGAATAGAAAATTCACACTAAAATATCTATTATATTTCCATATAGAAATCTTATGTATACTCTAGGATAATATCCTAACTGAACAATATATACACAATTTAACAAAGAAAGAAGTTGCAGAAAGAAGTATAACGAAAATACATTTGTCATCAGTCTGTCGACATTTGAGACTTCAAACTTAACTTCGATATATCGTATTTTTTAAAAGAAAAGAATTATTCACCATCGTCTAAAGAGAGAAAATTCGAGGATCTGAGAATTTAATAAAAATCACATCTTATGGATTTGAGATATCGAGAACTCTACCAGGAGGTTTACAGTCAACAGCCTTTCTTAGTAGCACTTGTTTAATTTTTAAGTTTCATCAGTCCGACTACTATGTCCAAAAAATATTGGTGGATATAAATATGTCGTGTCGGCGAAGAACACAATTCCACACTTCGAGTCTGACGAGAAAGCGTCATGTTGTTAGTCGAACTAGTAACTAATGGCTAAAATGTTGAAGTTAACGACGACGGAGGAGCATAATCGCTCGTGCTTACTGCGCGCCACCGTCAGATAGAAAAGCGCGAGTCTCCAACTCGCTCGTAATACGGACGGAATGAGAAGTGGCGTACACCCCGCGCCAGCAACAAGCTCTAAATAAGCTCGTTAAGTCGTAAAGCGTGTTAACCCTAAGATGAACCCGCAAATTAACCTTTCGCAGGCCGAAAAGATTTTTATTGCCGCGCTAACAACCGCGCGCGATAATTCGATCCGGTAAATCAAATTCGCCGCGGCGGTAACGTTCGGCGGTGTATGTCATTTCTGCAACTGCGAGAAGAACGGGAGTGAAGAATTAGAATCGCGGTACTAAGGACGGCGCGCTCCGTGCGCTAGGATCCAATTTTGGGATGAGAGCAAACAGGAAGTGCGAGCGAAGTTTTAGCAGTCACACGAACGATCCGTCCCGAAAATGAATCAGTGCTCTCGATTCACTTAATATGACACGATATATCAAACAACCACCACGCTATTTATA